AAGAGAATACTCTGCTTTATTAGGAAGATCTTGATTGCCTACCAGCTCATAAACAGCAGGATAGGATAACAAGTTCACCAGTGCTAGAAAAGACTAAATGGAGAGAAAGAAAATAGTCATTTAAATGGTACATTTTTTTCAACCACATCCATGGAAAAATCCTTAGTGTAAAGTTTTATAGCTGTATGACTGTGACAGTTACTTTAATTTTTAAATAAGCCTAATTATAATTAATTCACATAAATACCTACATATATGGTAAGTATAAAACAGCTAACATGAACACCAGTAATCTACAAGCTGACAATCCATGACATAACAACTGCTATAGAACGTAATACATGAAGTTTGGAAAATGTTTTAAAATGCCATGTATCTCTTGCAAAGTTTGGATCTGACAAAAAAATTCAATAATCCAACTTTTTCATTCTTTGCACTGTTATATCTGATATGTAAGAGAATACAAGAGAATAATAGGGACTCTGCAGCAAGATATTAAATTCTATATATTCTTGCCCTTGGGCCACAAGGCTTTTAAGTACATTCACTGAAATCCAACTAACCTAAATATTATGGTTAATTTTAAAAACCATGGCTTTTCCTATCAAAACCAGCTCATTTTCAGGTACGATCTTACTAAGTTACTTTCTCCACAAAATTTTTAAGCTCCCTGCTCTCATTTCCTTTTATTAAAAGCAACTATAATATTTTTCTCAAGCACATTTCATTCTTTGACTCTCCAGCTCAAATACATTCAGTGGCTGCCCATCGCCAAACATCAAGTCTAAACTCCTGAGCCGGACTTTCAAGGCACTTTACTAATTGACACTACTTTTCTTCTCTTCACAATCTCAAAAGCCTCATTTCCCATTATTCCCCACATGAATTCTCCACTTTGGTCAGTCAAATCTGCCTGTGGTCTCTTTTAACTGACTGCCACCTACACATACTTTCTTATCCTACTAACATGCTCCTCCCACTTACTCATTATCCCACTTTCTAAGCTTTCAAAAGTTTGCCACATCTCTTCTAAAGACTTTCTAATTAACTCCATGCATCTCTACGAAGCCCTATATTCTGTCAATACTTCTATCTTTTTTGTGTGTTATAGTAATTGTGCTTACCTGTAACTATTAAAAGTTTTCTGTGTCATTTTCTAAAAATTTTCACTAGACACAGAAAATTTGAGAGTCAGACAAATTGATAATTTTCACTAGAATCAGAAAATTGAAAACTTAGAAAATTAACAAGAACATTAAGTTCAATCTCTCATTTAACACATGAAAAAACTTGAGGTCAAGTGAAGTGGCTTGGCCAATGACACACATTCAGAAAATTGGTTGCAGAAATAATCTGTATTTTCTTATTTCCATGCCTAGGTCACTCATTACAAATCACAACATAA